TTTTGACGCTGACTAAATTGTTTACATGCTCGTCGCAGCGTCGAGATTATTATCAGTCCTGCAAGTAGGGTAATTGCTCCCGAAAAAGCGGGCACGAAGGATTTCGCTTCGCACGGAAATATTGCGTCCGCGTTTTCTGTCGCGATAAGCATTAGGAATATAGAAGCTAAAATTCTAGACCATCATTCTGCCTTACTTCCGCTTGAAAAATGAATGATTTGTATACTCGAATGTGAATCCTCTTTCCACCAAAAGTGAATCATCGATGTGCAGTCCGTGGATTTTTAGACATTCAATTAATACGTCCTAATTTAAGAAAATTAAACTTCAGAAATCTACATCTTGCACTAAATTACCAGAAATGACAAATATCGTGGACAAAATTTCAACCAGAGTTTAACGAATACAGTTGAAAGAAAGATAATATTTAACTCGGACTCGAAAAAATGAAGTGAAACGATCAAGGAAGTATCAAGTTGATCCATTACTCTTGATAATAGAAGGATAATTTTAATTAAAACTTTTAAAATGTTCTCTTTCTCTAATGAATTGTGAACGATGGAAGAATTCTGCCGAGCGCAGTTGTGGAAGGGATCATAGTGCGAGGGGTTAAACCTCAATGCAAAAGATTATTCATGTTACAGTCTACACGTTCGCGAACGCGAATGGTATAAATGTATAGGAGCCAGTTAATTAATGGTTCCATTGATGGATTATACACAATCAATAAGGCGATAGAATTTCGTCGGCAACCCACGCGTCAGAATTCTCGCGAAAGATTGAAAGTTCGAGAGTGAAACTTACGGGGAGCCCACGCTAGCGCTGTGATCTTGAAATATTAGTCTACAGCCACGTTATTTCATTAGTTCGATACACAGCACGTCTGCCGTTGACAAACGAGGGCAGGGAATGATTCGCCGATCGAAGCGTGGAATCTTTCCGGCTGGGAAATATTACTCGGGCGATTTCAAAAGAAAGTTTCGCCGGTCTGTTTCATCTTCGGATCAATCTTCCGAGTTCCAGATCGAGGAATACCATCATTCTCGAGTTTCTGCCTCTTCAAGCTTCTCGTCCGTGTCATTTTTTAGGGAAGCAGCTTACGCTCTTTTGGGGTCATTTAAAGGAACCAATAACGTTCAACGTTGCTCATCGTACATTCATTTTTCCTATCACGACAGTGAACGGGTTAAACAGCAACAGAATCAACACACTTATTCATTTATTCCGATACACGCCAGCTCGAAGGAAGAAAGAGATTTATTCATAGACAACGATTACATCAATGTCTTTCATTTTCCATGTTTCAAGAGGTACTCTCTCGGAAATATACATGAGATCCTCCGACTTCGTTGCCAACGATCTTCGTCCTTCGACGGACGAAGATCAAGAGCCTATACATAAAATCGGTGGTGAACACAGACGATTATTCATGGAATGATCGTGCTCTTTTAGAGTATCGAGTGAACCGTCTCCCTCGGACTCGTTCCCTCCACTTACCGTCCTCGAAGGATGCCAGGCAGCGGCCACTTTCGTGCTCGAACTATTCGAGTAAGAAAGCACTTTGCATCGCGGGATCCTCGTCAAAGGACTTCTTTGTGCCGTCGACTTTTTATCCTCCCTTCGCCTTGCGCCTGATTAACGAACTCGCCTAACGAACAAACTATTATCAAAGCCGTTCGGGGAGCGTCCCGTTGCATCGCCGCGCGGAACGGTAACACTGTTAGCACGTCGCAATAAAAATCCAATTTTCCCCTTAATCGATCGATATCCTGCGAATCCACGCGACACGGGCGAAATTGTGTTTCGTTCTGGTATCTTGTCGGGGATTAACGAACAGCTCGCCGGTACGTTCGCGCGGGAAACTCCGGATCCGCTCGCGGGACGCGCGATTCGCGGGTGACGGATCGGGGAGGGTCGAAGAGTAGATTGCGTTCGCGTGGAATGTGCTAATATTTTGACGAACTTTAGTGGCTACACTATTCGATACTTCTATTTCGAAGTTGTATTAAATATTTCCGACGAACGGCCGACCCTCGTTTGCCATCAATCGTGAATATCGCTGTTAAAAGTAACGTCCAAATTAGAAGTGAAAGAATCTGTAGAAATTCAAGTAAAAATAGTTCGATATTACACCTTACAGTTCTGACGATTCTACGCGAATAAGGAAGGACCTGTAAAACGTTAATATTCCAACGATAAAATCAGAAACGCGACGCGAGAACGGTTGCAGCAGTTTGGGGGGGCAATTTTTCAACGCTGGATCGCACAACAAACAAAAGAACCGACGGCAGGATACGATGAATGTCAAAACAAACACGGGGATTATTTTGAAAAATAACCCTCCCATGATAGTTTCGAATAAAAAGTGATGTAACTTCGGACACGGAGCGTTCATTATTTTTAATACGAACACAGCCAACTTCCTAATCGTTCCTTGCGTATCCGTCGAGAGGTGTAACACGCTCGTACGCGGCCAGACCCACGATTTACGATTCATCGAGCGGGCGATCCGCGAGACGACTGCCTAATGCTGTTAATCCGAGTTAATAGGCGCGCGCTCGTGCCGCCGGGCTGTTTTAAATCTAGATCCGCGCGTAAACGTCTGGCCACCGTTAAATCGCGACCAGCGCGGCGCGCCGTTTCCGTCGTAACGTAACTAACGTTTCTTTTTTTATCGAATGTCGCCGTGAATATCGGCCCCACGTCGAGCCGCTGTAACAAGATCGCGATTCCACCGACGATCCTGCGGCGACCCGATTTTCTTCTTATCTCGGCTCGCCGCGTTCCGATCGAAACGCGGCGAGCGGAATCGCGAAAATCGTCCGCCGGTATAAACGAACGCGGGCTCGCTCGATTTTTATGCATATTTTCGCCGCGCCTTTTACCGGTAATTGATTCCAATTTTCCGATAAGTGTCGTCGTTCGGTGTCCCGACGGATTCCGCTCGGGTGAACGGCAATCACGCTGCGGATATTTCATCCATCTATATCGCGCGTTGCTGTGTCAAGCAACGAAAACGAGAATTTTGACGGAAGTTTGATGAGCACAGACGGGATTAGTCGGAATTTTTAACGTAACGTTGGAATCGAGGATTCATTTGAATTCCGTGAATCGTTACGGTATAGTTTCGGACGAAATTCAATTCGGAGTGAAATTCGTTCTCCGAGCTCCCCGCAGATCGCGAGAGATCTTTGTGTACGATCCGATGTAGTACGTTATCTGTACAAAAGACGGACTATTGGTTCCTACATCGGGATTCGAATAGAACGATACAAAACGTAAAACGTTTACGAGCGTTCGCGGTTAATTGAAGTCGTTCCACGATCCTCGCGCGAGAAGCTGGTTACTAGAACAGTTCAGGCAACGTGACACGAATGCGGACGTCCCTTGGAGATTGCCCTAACGCCACCGCAAATCGAAACGCAGAGAACACCAGGGGACCGGTAGGATCTTTGTTTCGAAAGTTACGACGTCCTCGGGACTTCGACGGTTCTAAACGGTCGTCCGCGGGAGGAAACTTTTCCGAATGCTCTGGAAGCAGCGGATGTTTGGAGACTGTTCGCCTAAAAATTGTGCTCGAAACAAACGATGCTCGCCGCCCGAATTTTACCGATATATGAATACACTGGCAACGTAAAATTCTAGAAGACCACTGCGAAGCCTGCGAGCAGCTGTAGAGAAGACTACGACGATTACTCATAGACTAAAAGTCTATACGATTTCTGAAATACTTGAAACAAAGGTGATCCAGTATGTTTTTTAGAATCGAGTGCTCATTCGATTAAAAGGACGGTGGAATTAGAGGTAATTAGTCGGTTGAAGAATGAAGGCAGTTCTTGCGTCGGTTTTTCAGACAGACGAAAAGTAGAGGACACATCTGGTCTAGAGGACGCGAGCCAACCCTTTTTGCGTGATCCATAGAGATTGACATAAGTTAATCTTAAGTTTTAATATATTTTTCTTTAATTGGTATATACGATACTTTAATTGAGTACCTTTAATTGGTACGTGAGGGAAGTCGTACAAAGTCTCTTGTATTGGCATGAAGTATTTCAGAAATTGAGTATTAAATCATCTGGGAACTTTATAATACTTTGCTCGTGTGTCTCGGTTAGCATCATACAACGAAGGATTAAAAAGAGGTTTCAAAACTTGGAGGTTTCTTCTTCGCATAACTTCCACGCTGACGCACGATGTCCTGAGGGTGAAATTTAGATAGCGATCTTTTCGCGTGTTATACTCGTTCACGCCCTTCCATTTGTGTTCCCATCGAAAATAAAAGAGTAGCATTAACTTTCGGATCAGTCCAATGCATGAGAATCGTAATATTCCAACCCTCTAAATTCTCCCACAGTACCGCATAATTTCATGTTCATTCAGCTGCGCTGCATCACTTCGCCGTAACTCATTGCCATTGTTCATTCGCGCTATCCCATCTCAACCTAATTTCAAGAAAGCCTCCGAGAATGCATTCAAGAACGCGCTGCACATCGTTTCGTAGATATCCTCAAAACGTTACCAGCTTCGAACTCTACTCGAATCCTCATTATCATTCTCGTCGCCTTATAGTACACTACCATCATAAATATCATCCCCCTCCTCCCGCCCCTTACAACTCAAATATTTACACGCGCAGCGAAGACCGAAAGTTCCACTCGAAAGCAAAAGAATCCACAGCATCTCCCAAAAAACAACACAACGCGGCTACTCCAAAATCTGGATCATCGATCCCTCTCGAGATTACCCGGGTAAATGCATGCACATAGCTCCAACTACGGTCAGTCCCCGTCTCATTTACCTTGCTAATTTACTATTCCTCAACACAATTAACCTACATCAAACCTACAAACAAAACACCAATCGGAAGACCTCCTTCGCCTAGCCAGGCGCCGAGTCATCTCTCTACAATATAGATACCGAAAGTTTTCCTTGGGAATGACGTAACACAGCTCAGCTCAGCTCAGCGAGCTAGCCCGCGTGGACGGAGTAAATAAAACGACCTTGACTTTCCGGCATTTCCGGGCGGCGATGGATCTTGATTGCCTTCTGACAGCCTCCAGAGGAACCGGACACCCGCTGGATCCGTTCCGGCGGTCTCCACCGCGACAC